AAAAAGTGTTTGTAGTATATAAACAAATCATTATTATTGGTTATTGTCCAGCAGTGTATCTGATTTCTTAGCCAATTAAAAGCTAGAAATAAGAGAAAAATTTAAGTTGCCTATACACTACCAGTCAAACGTTTTTGAACAGTAAGGTTTTTAATGTTTTTTTAAAGAAATATCTTCTGTTCACCAAGCCTGCATTTATTTGATCCAAAGTACATCAAAACAAAAATTTTGGAATATTTTTACTATTTAAAATAACTGTTTCTATTCGAATATATTTTAAAATTAAATGTATTCCTGTGATTTCAAATCATTACTCCAGGCACATGATCCTTCAGAAAACATTCTAATATTGTGATTTGCTGCTCAAAAAAAAAAATTTTTTTTTATTATTTATTATTATTATGACGTTGAAAACAGCTGAGTATAATTTTTTCCGGTTTCTTTGATGAATAGAAAGTTCAGAAAATCAGCATTTATCTGAAATAGAAATCATCTCAGGTTACGTATGTAACCATGGTTACCTGAGAAGGGAACGAGACACTGCGTCTTCTAGAGGTCGCTATGGGAGAACGCCTTCAGTGTGACCGGTGTCTGAAGCATACATCTAAAACAATAACATTGGCCGGCGACAGCCTATGACGTCATTACCCTGCGCGATCATAGTATAAAAGGGCGCTGGGATAACACGCTTCTTCGTCTGAAGCTTGCGTCCGAAGCATGGCAAGGAAACCAGAGGACGCAGTGTCTCGTTCCCTTCTCAGGGAACCATGGTTACATACGTAACCTGAGACAAGAGATTCCTTTAAGGAGATACGTCCAGGGCTACCACCGGTTCTGAATAAACCTGCTCAAAGAAGTGACTCGACAGATCTTTGGTAGCAACACCCTGCTCAGAAATGTATCAGCAGAGATACATTAGTTGAGTGGAGCTCAAGGCGAGAACTGGGGCCTAACCAACTCAGAGAAAGGGAACGAGGCTAACAGCGCGTAACCCTTACCATACAGGATTTTAGAAAGTGCGCAGAATGCTTAGCATGCACACTTACCACAATGTGGATTTTTGAAAGTGCACAGAAGCTTAGCGTGTGCACTTACCATAGCATGGATTTAGAAACACTGTTGCTTAAGGGGTAACCGAGGCTGTATTAAGCCAGCCTAGGGGCCCTATGTGACTGTGGCACGCTCACAGAACAGATCCCGAAGCATCTGCTCACAGATGCTCAGAAGTCCTCAGACACTCAATCGGGAGCGGCAGGCTCAAAGACAACCCTCTGAAGTGAGGGGAGCTCACCCTGCTCAGAAATGTATCAACAGAGATACATTACCATGCTGAGGGGAGTGCATGCCAGAAACCCACAGCGAGAACTAAGTACCAACTCTACCATAGCCATGGGAGTTGCCCCAAAGGATGTCTTGACGGCTGTTAGTGACATTATCCCCTACGGCCAAGGGCCTGAGCTGCATACCCTAAAATAACTTACCTGTTAAGGGCTGGGCTAGGAAGCCCAAGCCTAGGGCAGAGCTCAAGGCTTGGAATCAACCATCACTGTAATCGGTCAACAGCAGGAGGTCCTGACTTAGCAGGTGGGTCAAACCTAAAAGTCAGAAAACAGAACAGGTCCAAGTAGCACTGCAGAGAAAGGCTAGCACTTTTCGAATACACAAGAACTAGCAGTAGAGTAGATGAAAATGGATCGTACTTACCAACCATGACTCAGGCTCATGGATATAGGCTGGAGGCGAAGT